GTACACTCTTTGGCGGTATGACCATAGTCTTTCCAACTATAGCAAAGTTTTCCCTTTCCTTGGCCTGGACATTCTCGAACAAAATGACCGAAATCTCCACACTCGAAACATCTCGCACTTTAAGCTGCAAAGTTTGCGGTTCTCACCTCACCGCTGTTAGACTCGTCCTGTTTCCTGATCGCGTCGTCCTGTCTCATAACAGTTTTCAATTGTTCATAAGTCAGGCGTGGCTCATTTTTTTATCTTGGCTGAGGACTGTAACAACTGTACCGTTGGTACAGACTTAATAATGGCATTATTAAACACCTCTCTTTTCTCATCTTCAGACAAAGGAGTGGCATCAGGTGAATTTTCGTAATTACGAATAGCTTCTTCAAATTTATCGCAAAACTCAACAGCTTTAAATTTAGTCTTATCATATCTCATGCTTGTAATTTCCAGTCTTACAGAGTATGAGGAAATGTTGTTCTCAAATTTCTTGATTTCTTTGATTTTGTTTAGAATTTCAACCGGATCTTGATTGATACTACTTTAGAGTCATAATCTTTATCTATATGATTAATTAATATACCTCTCACTTTGAATTTATGCTCGTCCAATTCTTTTGATCTCCTTTGAATTTTAAAGTATTATCTATAACATGTGAAAGTCTGTGAGATCTTACTTCTGATCGGAAATAATCATAGAAATGTTCATATCCAGTATTTTCATCTAATGTATAATCTCGTTTAACTGATGGCCCCTTGTCTAATCGATTGAGTTTAAGAGTTTCAGCAATCACATCACCATTGCTATTTTTTATGCTTCCACTATTTTGATTCAGTACTTATGGTTCTACATTTACAAAATGTCTTTTAACAATATTCTGAATTTTGTGATTTAACTCCTCATCCTCGTCATGCTCACCGCCATTATTTTTTAAATCTGACCCATTTCTCACCTCATCATAGTCCTCATTTTCAGCCCATGTGCAGTTTCCCCAGACTTTCTTCGATGTTTAAAAGTCTTTAATTTCGATCATTTTTAACTTCATTCACCTTATTTCTCATCTCTTTGATACTGTCCATTAAAAAGCGACCTGTGTTGCTCTGAATATTCACAACCTTGACAAGTGCAATGGTCACCGAGTCCAGTTTTGTACAAACTAATTCTAGCTTGTCTTGCACTGGAATTTCAGTTCGCGATTTATTGGTATAATTCTTCGTTGGATCTTTTGGGTGAATTTGTTCTAGGTACTTTATTTGAACTTTTGGTTTTAGGTATTCAGTACTTTTAATTTGGGATTTATTGTTACCTGTTTTGAGAGCATCAACTACTACTGACTCCTCACCATCTTGTCCGGCCGGCTCACCTGATCTCTTCTCCAAGTCATTCTCATCAACCTCTTCGACCTCACCATTCTTTCCATTTTTCTCACCATCGTCCTTGCTCTCCTCATCATCACTCTTCTCTCTGACCTCAGTAGTAGTTTTTGGATGTTCCTCATAAACTTTAGGCATGATGGGAAGTGTGCTGGTCAGAAGTTTATCTTCATACCATTTTGTCAGTGCTGTCCACTGATTCTGCGACATCATATTTTTACCTGTTAAGAATTAATTTAGTTTATGATTAATTAATTATAATTTTATGAAAATTATATGATTTGCTCGACTACTAACAAGTTCAACACAATCGTTGTCATCATTAAAGCTTCGAACACAAATGAGAAATGTACACAAAGACTAATTTGTGCCCAAAGGTCGATCAGTTTCAAACGTTGAACGATCAAACGTTCTGCCGTTAATCAACCGTATGGAACATCCTGACTTCAGATATGATTCTGAAAATATACATATATATATATATATATAT